TACTCAGGGACAGACACAGAATTGTTACTGAGGGCCACAGAATTGTTACTTAGGGCCAGGGCGTTAGGGCCACAGAATTGTTACTCAGGGCACAGAATTGTTACTCAGGGACACAGAATTGTTACTGAGGGCCACAGAATTGTTACTGAGGGCCACAGAATTGTTACTTAGGGACCACAGAAACGTTACTTAGGGCCACCACAGAAATTGTTACTCAGGGACAGACACAGAATTGTTACTGAGGGCCACAGAACTGTTACTTAGGGCCACAGAAACGTTACTTAGGGCCACAGAATTGTTACTCAGGGACACACAGAATTGTTACTGAGGGCCACAGAATTGTTACTTAGGGCACAGAAACGTTACTTAGGGGCCACAGAATTGTTACTCAGGGACAGACACAGAATTGTTACTGAGGGCCACAGAAATTGTGTTACTTAGGGCCACAGAAACGTTACTTAGGGCCACAGAATTGTTACTCAGGGACAACACAGAATTGTTACTGAGGGCCACAGAATTGTTACTTAGGGCCACACACAGAAACGTTACTCAGGGCCACAGAATTGTTAACTGAGGGCCACAGAACACGAATTGTTACTTAGAGGCCACAGAAACGTTACTTAGGGCCACAGAATTGTTACTCAGGGACAGACACAGAATTGTTACTGAGGGCCACAGAATTGTTACTGAGGGCCACAGAACCGTTACTTAGGGCCACAGAAATTGTTACTCAGGGACACAGAATTGTTACTGAGGGCCACAGAACCGTTACTTAGGGCCACAGAATTGTTACTCAGGGACAGAATTGTTACTCAGGGGCCACACAGAATTGTTACTGAGGGACACAGAATTGTTACTGAGGGCCACAGAACCGTTACTTAGGGCCACAGAAACGTTACTCAGGGACAGACACAGAATTGTTACTCAGGGACACACAGAATTGTTACTGAGGGCCACAGAATTGTTACTTAGGGGCCACAGAAACGTTACTCAGGGACACAGAATTGTTACTCAGGGACAGACATAGGGCCAGAATTGTTACTCAGAGACAGACACAGAATTGTTACTGAGGGCCACAGAAATTGTTACTTAGGGCCACAGAAACGTTACTCAGGGACACAGAATTGTTACTCAGGGACAGACACAGAATTGTTACTCAGGGACAGACACAGAATTGTTACTGAGGGCCACAGAACTGTTACTTAGGGGCCACAGAATTGTTACTCAGGGACACAGAATTGTTACTGAGGGCCACAGAACCGTTACTTAGGGCCACAGAATTGTTACTCAGGGACACAGAAAATGTTACTGAGGGCCACAGAACCGTTACTTAGGGCACAGAATTGTTACTCAGGGACACAGAATTGTTACAGGGCACAGAATTGTTACTTAGGGCTCAGGGACAGACACAGAATTGTTACTGAGGGACACAGAATTGTTACTGAGGGCCACAGAACTGTTACTTAGGGCCACAGAATTGTTACTCAGGGTTACAGACACAGAATTGTTACTGAGGGCCACAGAATTGTTACTTAGGGCCACAGAAACGTTACTCAGGGACACAGAATTGTTACTCAGGGACAGACACAGAATTGTTACTCAGGGACAGACACAGAATTGTTACTGAGGGCCACACAGAATTGTTACTTAGGGCCACAGAAACGTTACTCAGGGCCACAGAATTGTTACTCAGGGACAGACACAGAATTGTTACTGAGGGCAGACACAGAATTGTTACTTAGGGCCACAGAAACGTTACTCAGGGCACAGAATTGTTACTCAGGGACAGACACAGAATTGTTACTCAGGGACAGACACAGAATTTACTCAGGGACAGACACAGAATTGTTACTGAGGGCCACAGAATTGTTACTTAGGGCCACAGAACGTTACTCAGGGACACAGAATTGTTACTCAGGGACAGACACAGAATTGTTACTCAGGGACAGACACAGAATTGTTACTGAGGGCCACAGAATTTTACTTAGGGCCACAGAAACGTTACTCAGGGACACAGAATTGTTACTCAGGGACAGACACAGGGCACAGAATTGTTACTCAGGGACGGACACAGAATTGTTACTGAGGGACACAGAACTGTTACTTAGGGCCACATAATTGTTACTCAGGGGGGGACACAGAATTGTTACTGAGGGCCACAGAACCGTTACTTAGGGCCACAGAATTGTTACTTACTCAGGGACACAGAATTGTTACTGAGGGCCACAGAAACCGTTACTTAGGGCACAGAATTGTTACTCAGGGACAGACACAGAATTGTTACTCAGGGACAGACACAGAATTGTTACTCAGGGACACAGAATTGTTACTGAGGGCCCACAGAACTGTTACTTAGGGGGCCACAGAATTGTTACTCAGGGACAGACACAGAATTGTTACTGAGGGCCACAGAAATTGTTACTTAGGGGCCACAGAAACGTTGTTACTCAGGGACACAGAAATTGTTACTCAGGGACAGACACAGAATTGTTACTCAGGGAGAAGTTACTGAGGGACACAGAATTGTTACTGAGGGCCACAGAATTGTTACTTAGGGCACACAGAAACAGGGACACTCTCAGGGACACACACAGAATTGTTACTCAGGGACACACAGAATTGTTACTGAGGGCTACAGAATTGTTACTTAGGGCCACACAGAATTGTTACTCAGGGGACAGACACAGAATTGTTACTCAGGGACAGACACAGAATTGTTACTGAGGGACACAGAATTGTTACTGAGGGCCACAGAAATTGTTACTTAGGGCCACAGAAACGAATTGTTACTCAGGGCCACAGAATTGTTACTCAGGGACAGACACAGAATTGTTACTCAGGGACACAGAATTGTTACTGAGGGACACAGAATTGTTACTGGGGACAGACACAGAATTGTTACTGAGGGCCACAGAATGTTACTTAGGGCCACAGAAAACGTTACTCAGGACAGACACAGGAATTGTTACTCAGGGACAGACACAGAATTGTTACTTAGAGGGCACACAGAATTGTTACTTAGGGCCACAGAAACGTTACTCAGGGACATAGAATTGTTACTCAGGGACACAGAATTGTTACTCAGGGACAGACACAGAATTGTTACTCAGGGACAGACACAGAATTGTTACGGAGGGACACAGAATTGTTACTGAGGGCCACAGAACCGTTACTTAGGGCCACAGAAACGTTACTCAGGGACAGACACAGAATTGTTACTCAGGGACAGACACAGTTACTGGACACAGAATTGTTACTGAGGGACACAGAATTGTTACTGAGGGCCACAGAACTGTTACTTAGGGCCACAGAAACGTTACTCAGGGGCAGACACAGAATTGTTACTCAGGGACACAGAAACCAGAATTACTTAGGGACACAGAAACGTTACTCAGGGCCAGACACAGAATTGTTACTCAGGGACAGACACAGAATTGTTACTCAGGGACACAGAATTGTTTTACTGAGGGACACAGAATTGTTACTGAGGGGACCACAGAATTGTTACTCAGGGACACAGAATTGTTACTCCAGGGACCACAGAGAATTTGTTACTGGCAGGGACACAGAATTGTTACTCAGGGACACAGAATTGTTACTGAGGGACACAGAATTGTTGACTCACAGAATTGTTACTCAGGGACAGACACAGAATTGTTACTGAGGGCCACAGAACTGTTACTTAGGGCCACAGAACTGTTACTTAGGGCCACAGAAACGTTACTCAGGGACACAGAATTGTTACTCAGGGACACAGAATCGTTTAATTAAAGAGTATGTCAGACAACATGCAGAGGAGTGGCAGAGGAGGCAATGTTTTAGGAGCGAGCAGACGTGGCAGCAGAGGAAGGGGTCGAGGCAGCACTATTCGCAGCCAGAGGCTAGTGCTCCCGGTGTCATCCAGTACAGTGAGGAAGAGCTAACAGAGGGCGGTCAGGAACGGGGGGAGACATCCGCCTGTTTCAGCAGCCAGGCGAAGAAGTAGTGGCGAGGAGAGTGCTCTCGGTAGCCGGTGTAGAGACAGGTCTGTCTCCTTACCCACACGCAGCCGAGGGGGCTAGTAGTGAGGCGGAGACCCTAATTGATGATGATGAGGCTGATCGCACTTGGCAGCCTCGTCGTCATCATGCTATTGCTTCCGCATCATCAGGAGAAGAGGGTGGCAGCTCTGGCAGCGAGCAAAACACGGTGGGTTGTCTCCATCGCCACACTCTGCCATGTGCCACTTTCAGGTCTCCTCACACACTGCTGGTGTGTTGAATTTTTTGACATAGGGTGCTGGCAGATTACGGGCCTCCCATAGCTGCTGCCAGGCCCCTAATCTGCCATAGGCCCCTATATACCGCCTCCTCATGCTGCTGCCAAGTCCAGAGTCTGTCATGGGTCCCTGTACGGCCTCCCATTGCTGCTGTCTCCATCGCCACACTCTGCCATGTGCCACTTTCAGGTCTCCTCACACACTGCTGGTGTGTTTTTTTTTGACATAGGGTGCTGGCAGATTACGGGCCTCCCATAGCTGCTGCCAGGCCCCTAATCTGCCATAGGCCCCTATATACCGCCTCCTCATGCTGCTGCCAAGTCCAGAGTCTGTCATGGGTCCCTGTACGGCCTCCCATTGCTGCTGTCTCCATCGCCACACTCTGCCATGTGCCACTTTCAGGTCTCCTCACACTGCTGGTGTGTTGAATTTTTTGACATAGGGTGCTGGCAGATTACGGGGGCCTCCCATAGCTGCTGCCAGGCCCCCTAATCTGCCATAGGGCCCTGTATATACCGCCTCCTCCTCATGCTGCTGCCAAGTCCAGAGTGTCATGGGTCCCTGTACGGCCTCCCATTGCTGCTGTCTCCATCGCCACACTCTGCCATGTGCCACTTTCAGGTCTCCTCACACACTGCTGGTGTGTTGAATTTTTTGACATAGGGTGCTGGCAGATTACGGGCCTCCTATAGCTGCTGCTGCCAGGCCCCTAATCTGCCATAGGCCCCTATATACCGCCTCCTCATGCTGCTGCCAGGTCCAGAGTCTCTCATGGGTCCCTGTACGGCCTCCCATTGCTGCTGTCTCCATCGCACACTCTGCCATGTGCCACTTTCAGGTCTCCTCACACACTGCTGGTGTGTTTCCATTTTTTTGTCATAGGGTGCTGGCAGATTACGGGCCTCCCATAGCTGCTGCCAGGCCCCTAATCTGCCATGGGCCCCCGTACCGACTCCTCATGCTGCTGACGTTGCAACAAGGTGGAATTCAACCCTACATATGTTAGACCGCCTTTACGAACAGCAAAAGGCCATCACAGATTTCCTGATGTTAAAAGCGGATAAAGGTACTCCCTGTGTAACTTAGATGTCAGCCCATTGGCAGCTCATGCGTGACACCTGCGCTTGCTCAGGCCCTTTGAGGAGGCCACGCTATTCGTGAGTCGGCAGGACTATGGGATGAACGACGTCATTCCTCTGTTGCACGTCCTGGAACAAATGCTGTTAACAATGGCTGGTCAGGGTGCGGTAGACGTGGCGCACAGATCTCAACGCCACATGACCCCTGTGGGGGGCAGGACAGGAAGAAGAGGAGGAGGTAGAGGAGGACATTGGTGCTCAGGAATTATTGAGTGAAATGGGTGGTTTTTTTCACTCAGCGGACAGGAGTGGAGGAGCAGGAGCATCTGGTAGAGGAGGAGGAAGAGGAGACAGAGGACCCAGACGCACCGTGGCAGTATGCTGTGGAGATGGAGGCAGGGAGTCCCTCGCATTCCTTGGCACAAATGGCCCATAGCATGCTCGCTTGCTTGCGTAGCGACAGCCGAATAATAACCATCAGACAGAGGGATGACTTTTGGCTGTCCACCTTGTTGGACCCTCGCTACCGTTCAAAAATGGTGGCCTTTTTCACACCTGCTGAGAGGGAGGCCAAAATAACGTACTATAAAAACCACCTATGTAGTCAGCTGGTCTCTGCCTGTCTGCGCCAACGTCCATCCTCAGACACTGTGGGCCCTGTGCGCTCGCCGCGTTCCGCTGCCATGGCAGCAGGGGAGGGGTGGGGTGGTAGGAGCAGTGGCAGCTCCACCAGCAGCAGCGGCTGGCTGCCTCAGTCTGCAGTCGATGATGAGTAGCTTTCTTCACCAGCGCAGTGAGAGGAAACTACTAACCAGCCGCAGCAGCAGCAGCAGCAGCAGCAGCAGCAGCAGCAGCATCAGGTGGACCTGGAGCAGGACCTCAAACAACAGGCTTAGGCCTACTTGGACAGCACCCTGCCAACCGAGGTAGACAATCCCCTTGACTACTGGGCAACGAAACTTGACCTTTGGCCCCAACTAGCTGAATTTGCCCTTGAAAGGCTGTCATGCCCGGCCAGTAGCGTGGCATCGGAGCGCGTGTTTAGTGCGGCAGGAGGTATTGCAACTCCGCGGAGGACACGACTGTCCCCCAAAGTGTGGAGAGACTGACGTTTGTGAAAATGAATCAGGCGTGTGGATTAGTCTGGATTTCAAACCACCAGTTCCTGACACAACTGACTAAATCCGCCATGAATCATGCCCCAAACATGTGCCACTTTTCAGGTCTCCTCACACTGCTGGTGTGTTCCATTTTTTGTCATAGGGTGCTGGCAGATTACGGGCCTCCCATAGCTGCTGCCAGGCCCCTAATCTGCCATGGGCCCCTATACCGCCTCCTCATGCTGCTGCCAAGTCCAGAGTCTCTCATGGGTCCCTGTACGGCCTCCCATTGCTGCTGTCTCCATCGCCACACTCTGCCATGTGCCACTTTCAGGTCTCCTCACACTGCTGGTGTGTTCCATTTTTTGTCATAGGGTGCTGGCAGATTACGGCCTCCCCCATAGCTGCTGCCAGGCCCCTAATCTGCCATGGGCCCCTATATACCGCCTCCTCATGCTGCTGCCAGGTCCAGAGTCTCTCATGGGTCCCTGTACGGCCTCCCATTGCTGCTGTCTCCATCGCCACACTCTGCCATGTGCCACTTTCAGGTCTCCTCACACACACTGCTGGTGGGTTCCATTTTTTGTCATAGGGTGCTGGCAGATTACGGGCCTCCCATAGCTGCTGCCAGGCCCCTAATCTGCCATGGGCCCCCGTACCGACTCCTCATGCTGCTGCCAGGCCCGTAATCTGTCATGGGCCCCTGTTGTCGCTTGTTGGCATATTCCGCTCGTTCAGATGCTCCTTCTCCTGCTACTCCTCTTCACGGATTCCGTCAGCAGTCTTTCTTGGAATCCGTTTCCAAGAGACAACAGTTTGCGAGCACGCACCCGACGGTGCAGAAGCTGAACGTCCTCCTGTCCAAGTTGCTGCTGCCAGGCTCGTAATCTGTCATGCGCCCCTGTACCGCCTCCTCATGCTGCTGCTGCCAGGTCCAGAGTGTGTCATGGGCCCCCGTACCGACTCCTCATGCTGCTGCCAGGCCCGTAATCTGTCATGGGCCCCTGTACCCGCCTCCCCATGCTGCTGCCAGGTCCAGAGTGTGTCATGGGTCCCTGTACGGCCTCCCATTGCTGCTGCCAGGCCCGTAATCTGCCATGGGCCCCCGTACCGACTCCTCATGCTGCTGCTGCAGGGCCGTAATCTGTCATGGGCCCCTGTACCGCCTCCTCATGCTGCTGCCAGGTCCAGAGTGTGTCATGGGTCCCTGTACGGCCTCCCATTGCTGCTGTCTCTATCGCCACACTCTGCCATGTGCCACTTTCAGGTCTCCTCACACTGCTGGTGGTTTCCATTTTTGTCATAGGGTGCTGTATGGCCTCCCATTGCTGCTGCCTCCACCGCCACACTGTGGCTCCACACTCTGGTTTTGGCCCCGTGACTGCCCAAATGAGTGAAGTGTGCGGTGATTCTAAGATCGACGGCACTCATCTGCATGTCATACTGACTGACAGTATTATTTCTCTTCCCCAGCAGACTCCAAGGCATTTAAATTAAAGGTACAGTGTTCTGCACTAATATTAAGTCTCTCTGAAGCCTAGAAACACCCTTTTTTAAGTTAAATTCACAGCGAATATATTCGACTCGAATCGAAATTTTTCCACGAATTCGCCGAATCAGTCGAATCGAATTTTTGAATACTTCGCTCATCTCTAATAGTAGCATGCTTGTATAAAAATTGTTTATGTATAAGTGGTACCCCATATGGAAAAAAAGGGTAACAACAAATTGCCAACTAACTTGCCATTGCGTCCCATGTAGTCTGAGCATCTGGGGGCTCCATGTGACTATCTTCCCCCCCATAAATCCAAAAATTACATGTATAGCCGGTTTCCCTTTCACAGGTCTTATACATTTTGACCCCATATCTGGCATGCTTGCTGGAGAGAAATTGTTTGAATGCAAGGTGGCCAGAAAAATTAATGAGGAACTCATTAACGCAAAAGGTTTGCTGGGGAGTATACACATCTGCAAATTTCTGTTTAAGGTGATTTTGAGGGGCTGAAATTTTGTGGAGCCGGTCATATTCAGGGTCATCCTGAGGATGACAGAATGTGTTATCACTGAAAGCATACATCGCATTATATTCTATGGCCATGGCAGCAGAGAACATGGGCATATGATGAATCAGGTCTGTGGACCAATACAACCGCAATTCATTTTTTTAGTAATGCCCATGTTGAGGGTTAGGCCCAAAAAAACTTAAAATTTGGAAACCGTAATAGGTTTCAATGCAAATGGTCTGGCAAGGTTTGAATTTGGGTTGGTGGTGATAAATTGTTGTGAGTATAAATTGCTTTGATCCACAATTAATCCAAACAGCTCCAAAAAATCAAGGGGAGCAGTTACATTTTCTAAAGTTAATTTAAAGTTTCCACCTGAATTCGGAGTTGGGCAGTGAATGGAGGAAATACGGGTGCTGCAGAATATGTGGACTGCCAATCAAGATTTGCAAGCACATCCGGAAGGGCACTATGTGCTCTATGGGCCTGTGTTTGAATTCTTGTGTAGCGGTGGGACACCACTTGTACTAGCCACTGCACCAACTTGTACTGCACTTATGGTACTCGCCATGACACCAAGTGATACTGCAGTGCGGTATGTAAAAGACCAGGATGTACTTGGCTGCTGGTGCTTGCCAGTTCACAAAAAGGTAGAGTGACACTAGCACTTGCACTCAGCTGCATATGAGAATCATCATGCAATTGTAACACCTCAGCAACTTGGGAACGGGGTCAAGTACACTAGACCTTAGCAGGGTCTTCTGCTCAAATGTCTGAGCTATCTATCAGGGTGCTGCTGCTCTCTACAGGTTTGTATTCTGAGCCTGATTCTGTCAGTGAGGCTTCCTCCTTGCTCTCATCTGACATACTCAGAATCCTGTAGGCCTCTTCACTAGTATACCTTTTGTTGGATATTTTGGCCACTAAATCTGTAGGTACCTAGTACGACTCATGGGAAAAAGAGCACCTGGCTGTCAGGATGTCTCACCACTGCCCATGAACATGGCAGGAGCGCAGATCATGTATATATACATGATTTTGCGCAGAGAGTCCGCCCGCCTGTAGCAGTAAAACTGCTATAGGTGGAGTTTAACTGGTTAAAGTCACTGATGATGTCAGTGGCAGTTAGTCAGTTTCCCCCGAGCGTCAGTTATTGTAAGATTGCCCACCATAATATCGCAGTCCTGTTATAAGTCGCTGATCACCACCATTAGTAGTATGAAATAAATACATACATAAATTACAATTCCAGTAATATATCCCATAGTTTGTAGATGCTAGAACTTTCATACAAACCAATCAATACATACTTATTTGGATTTTTTTTTAACAAAGACATGCAGCAGAATACATTTTGGCCAAAATTTGTGAAGAGATTTGATTTTTTTTAAGTTTTTTTTGGAGATGTTTTTATAACAGAAAGTAAAAAATATTGTTATTTTTTTCAAATTGTTGGTCTTTTTTCATTTAAAAAAAAACAGAGGTGATCAAATATTTGTGTGAAAAAATTATCTAAATTTTGTTTCTGTACAGTGTTGCATTACCATGCAATTGTCAGCGCCAAATAGCAAATAAATGGCCAGATCAGGAGGGGGTAAATCCTTCCAGAGGGCAAGTGGTTAATAAAAGTAGTCCAATAAGCCCTAAAAAGGCATATTTGGTGTGGACTGGATTCACTGGTGAGTGCTACATTTGAGTTAAGAAAACCCTAAATGTCACAGTTGGTATCATTCAGTTTAGTGTTATAAATCAGAGAGTTAAAATGCAACATTTTTCACTTAGGACATTTATACCTATGTTGAAAAAATAAACTATTCTAATGTTTTTACACTAACTATAGGGTCAGTTTATAAACTGAGTTGGTTTATATGTCTTTTGGAAATTAAAATGACCATTTCCCAAGGGCACTGTTACAAGGAAAGTGAACAGTTAAGTACAGCTAGTATATAACCCAAGACTGCAATAGGAGAAGCTGTAATAAGATTGAGTATGAGTGATTATTCCCAGGATAAATTCTGGATGACATTTTTGGAAGATTAATTCAATAGGTGTGATGCCGCTTTAAGAGCAATTGTGCTGATGCTCTTATTCAGATCTTTGCAGAAAGTGCAATATTATGAGTTCTTTTCATGTGGAGCCTTCATAATCAGATTTTCCTCAGACACTAGAGGAGTTTGATATATGGGTATCTCTTTCTGAAATTGGTTTGACACTCACGGTTAGGAAAGGGAACTTATTTTTCCACGACAAATATAATAACTGTATTGGTATCAGAAGGCCTGACACTGAACATTAATTAAGATATTATATGCAAACGTGTAGCTTGTCAATCACACATTCATCACCTCGATCCTGCAGATCCTCACTAGAAATAGTATGATTATGTTCTATTATTTTGTTTTTTGTTTTTTTTTTTTTTTTTTTTTCTTCTTCTCCTCTTTTCTTTCTGCCTGAGATATTATAAAAATAAAAGATATAACAGCAAGTATCATGGCCCCAACACCATACGTGGTTTGATGTTTTTTTTCTCAGCACATCTCAGGACTCCTAAATAGCAATCTGCTATATATTCATACCTGAAATGGAAATCATCTTTCAGTCTTGTCCTTCAAATTACAGACGCAGAACGCTAGAGAGATCAACATTTTTTTCATGTCATTTTGTATAATTTTTTCTTCCTGACTTTCTTTGATATCTTTGAAAGGTTTAAATATGGGGGGGGGGGGGATACAATTTATGTTTTATACTATTAATGATGTGTGTTTCATCTATCAATCTTCCCTGTCGATAAAAATGAGATGCGCCTTAACTCATACTTTATTTCTTCATTCTGGTTCAGTCCGTGAACCATAGTCGAGCGTCTATGGTGCTCCATGTTTCAAATTAGTACTCGTAGCCCACATTGAATTACAGACCACTCCCAACCACAACTGACTATTGGAGTGTATCTTAAGATAAAGGACGCAATGCGGTATTTACAGTGGTACCAATTGGTCCATCAACCTAAAATACACAAAGACATAGATCAATTCACTAGAAACCTAGCTTCACCATTCGTTAAACACAAAAAATTTGCAACCTGTGATGTCATCATAAGATCTCGTTCAAATTTGAAAGTCTAGAAGTCCAGTGTAACTAGTTTTCTGTGTTTCTTCGGATTTTTTTTTTTTTTTTTTTTTTTTTTTTTTTTTTACCTTTTTTCTTTTATTTTTTTTTTTATTTTTTTTTTTTTTTTTTTATTTTTTCATACTTTTTTTTTTTATTTATTTTTATATTTTATTTTTTTTTTTTTTTACAGCAATCAATGTTCCTCTATAGGATAGTGCACATCACACTCTTTTTGCACCTGGTAGCCATTGTCCCTG